ACATAGGATATTACTAATATCGAAAACTAACGTTAATATTTGCTAATATCGAATATTAATATATTATCGAATATATTATCGAATATATTATCGAATATATTATCGAATATATTATCGAATATATTATCGAGTATATTATCAATATTATCGAATATTATCGATATTATCAATAATATTGACATCATTAATCTGTTTTTTTTTTTTAAAAAAAAAATTAAAGATCACAGATAAAATGGAGATTGAATTTTGATCAAGAATTAATAATTTCTATAACTCCTATATACAAAAGAACATCAAAAAAAAAATGTCTTTCGAAGATTCTAAGGATCAATTACCAATTAACAGAGATTCTATTAATTCTTTAAATGATAAGGGCAATTACCCTACAGGTTCGCGTCTAAGTGATTGTTGGCGTTTTTTAAGGACTGGACCCGAGTAAAAATCAAAAATATCCATTAAACCCTCCCCTAAATTCTAACTTGTGTTCTACCCAAATAAACGGGTAACCGGTTAGAAGTTCTTTCATCAGGTCCAATCTCTTAGATGGTTGATAGATTTTACATATATGTATATATATATCTGTATGTATCGTATGTAAATATGTATATACATGTATATATAGTATATGGATGTATATATATTATACATATACGTACGTACATGTATACAATATATGGATGTATATATGTGTATATTTATAGATACTTATCATTTTTTTTATCGTTATACTTGTTTTTTTTTTTGATTATAGCCGAAGCAAAAACACGTGGAGAAGGAACAAAGCAAACATCTCAAAAAGGTGGTTTTGGTCAAAAAGTTCAAGAACAAGAGATTGGTCATGGATTCATTCCAAGAAATAGGAGTAGTAAAGTGAGAGAGAATAAGGAATTTGAACAAGAAGTTAAAAAATATTGAATAATTTAGAATTGCTTTTTTTTCAAATTTGATAATAAAGAGTTTGAGAGCTTGATGCGCTTTTATTGATACGGACGTAAAAAGTTAAGAGTTGATGTGCTCTAATTTAACAAAGTTGAGACGAATTATCTAACAATGCGTATTTTAGTAATAATATATAATAATAATATAATAATAATATAATAATAATATTTAATAAAATACTTTTGTCTTAAACGTCTTAAATTTATTAATAATAAATAATAATTCTCTGAAAAAAATCAAATCAAAATCATATGATATCATAATTCTGGTCATAAAATTATGAATTAGATTGACCAAAATTATGTAGATCGACATAATTTGCGTCATCTCAAAATACAAGCAATATAAAAGAGTCATTATTTCCATCTTTGATACTAACTTAATCTTTTTTTAATATGATTAAATTTGTTGTATGCGCTGATGGTAAAGTGCATCTTGTCTCTATGAATGAAATTCTATTAAAACAACTAAGAGTTGATTATATATTTCATCAAATAAAAAGCTGTTTCGGCACGTGATATTTAATATAATTATATAGGTAGCTAACTCGCTCGATATTAAGTAGGATTTTCTATTTTTATTTTCATATTATATGAATTCTTGTAGATATAAGCAAAAATTTTGGATTTAAAAGTTTGTGTTAATCTTCATGAAACATTGTATTATTCTTGCGAAACACGTGATAAAGTATAGAAATTTTCTTTATTTAGAATAGTGACCAGCATTAAAAATACAATACTTTACTGGAATTAAAGTGATGGTAAGATGTTCTTAATAAATATTGATTGTCAAATTTTTAATTGATCGATCAGACGGTCTTTTTTACGCACGGTCGATCAAAGGGAGAATAACTGAATATGGTAAGGCGAATTCAAAAGTGAGGCTTTGATGAAAAAGCGATTACTATTCATATAATCTAATGTTCATTAGTATGTATATTCGGATTTCTTTTAAGATCATATTTAAGGATTCCTTATTCGTAAAATCGCGTCTTTATAATCCTTATACCTTTTTATACTATTTACAGAAATGGGATTTCCGGATCATCTTATCATTTTGAATAAAATTATGGTAAGCTGATCAATAATGCACATCAAGATTCTTTTGTTATAGTGCAAAATATTGGTTAACTTAATAGGATAAATCGAATAGGTGAATAAGTGATAATTAAGAATATCATGAATATCATATTTTGATTTCCTTGGTTAAATAACTCTAAATGTTTGATAATTGAATTACATACGCAGATACGTACGTACGTACGTATCGTATCAACAATCAAAAAAAAGAAATGCATATCCTATTTAGGGATGTATTACATAAATTACTTTGTTACGTTTCATGTAAATTACATTGTAACTTACGAAATTGTAATGTAACT